TTTTTTGTTTCCTTTCCCCACCTCCTCCCCTGTTGTCTACCATGTGCATCCCTGCATTTGATCTGAGCCCTTCCATATTACCTGGTCCTTACCTCTCTTGATACATTTTTAAAGGATGGTCAGGCATTGTTTGGTTGTGCTACCATCGTTCCAGAACCCCCTCAGCAATCTTTTAAAAATGCATGGTATGTTATGGTTTTGAGAGCTTTCATTTCCATTCTTTTACTTTATCTTATCCTTATAGAGGTAGATTAAATAAGCGTTCTAGCTATTTAGAAAATGAAACTAAGAGAGGTTATGTGACTTACCTAGCCCCACATACCTGAAAAAAAGTACAAGAAAGAGTATATCGTAGTTAAATACAGACTTTGTAGTGTAATGCAACTTAGGTTTAAACTCAACCCTGTTTTTACCATTTCTAAAACAGCTATGTTAACCTAGATTATTTAATCCTGTCATCTTAATTCTTACATAAAATGTGAATAATCATATCTATTTGACTTATAGTATACATTAGATGACAATCAATGCAAAATATCTAATGTAGTGCCTGACAAAATAAATAAATACTTGCTAAGGTTTACTACTTACAAAATACTTTTAAGTGCTAGGAATATAGCAATAAACAATATACAGATGACCCCTACTCTTATGGATAGAAGCGTGCTACATCTATATATGCTCCTCACTTAGCAGCTGTTTCATTATCCAACATTTTTCTTGTATGAAAATTGTAAAATGCCTGCTACCTGATTACTTTACACAGCGATGAGGCAACAGGCATGGTGGCAACTCGATATACAATAGAACAAAACATGGCCTGTGCTGCTCCATCCTTACTATGCTTAATTAAGCCCATTGTTAACAATCACTGTGGTCATCTATTTAATTGAAGGTCTACCTCTTTTGCACTGACACGCTGCTTGCCACCAAGCATGGCATCCTGGTGCAGTGACAGGTTCCTGATAACATATCCAAAATATATGAGATGAAGTTTCATCATCTTCACTTCTAAGGATAATTTTGGCTGTACTTTCTTAGAGAGAGATTTGTTCATTCTTCTGACAGTCCATAGTATATTTAAAGTTCTTCACTAAAACCATAATTCAAATGCATCAGTTATTCTCTATTCGTTGTCCAGCTTTTGCATGATTTATAAGGTAGTTGAAAAATGTCATGAGAGACTTCTTTTTAACACAGTAAAGAGATCTTTTTCTTAGAGGTGATGCTGCCTCCATGAGCATTGATTATGGATTCATATAGAATGAAACCCTTGATAACTTCAATATTGCCTCTGTTGTGATGATTTTTAAGATATATGTATGTGTGTGTACACACACACACACACACACACACACAAGTGTAATCCAGTAAGTACTTCAAGTCCTCAAGCAAGGTTCAGTCATCTGTGCATTGCAGTTTTAAAATCGTCTTGTATTATTTTCTCAGCATGTAGATTGAATAAATATCTGGAAAAGATACAACCTTGTTGTACACCTTTCCTGATTATAAACTGCTTCTTGGTCTATGTATAAATTCTCTACGAGTACAAATAAGTGTCTATAATTCACATTCTTCTCAGGGTTATGTAAGTATTATAACTTGTAATTATGATCCACACAATGTAATCTTTTGGTAATGAATAAAACAATGGTAAATATCTTTCTAGTATTCTCTGACAAGATTCATAACAGTGGTGATGATACTCCTTATCCCACTTTCTCTTCTGAATATGGCTTTAATTTCTGACAGTTCCTTGGCAATAGACTGCTGCTACCATGTTTGAATTACCTTCATTCAAATATGAATGCTATTCCTTAATAATTTATTGAAATGGGCAAAAAGATGAATCTCTTAAACAAGTACTGTATATAATTGTGAGTAAGCCGAGTTTTTCAACACATTTTTTATGCAGTTTTTGTAAAATTAGGTGCTTTGGCTAATATTTGGTCGGCTTATACTTGAGTATATACGGTAGTTGTCTTCCAAATTTCATGGCATAGATGAAAGTTCTGTCTGTTTTATAAAGCATCTCATTTAGCTTTTGTCAATTCCTATTGCCTTGTTTTTTACCAATATCTTCAGGAAAGCTTGAACGTTCTTGATCATATGCAGCCTCTTAAAAGGATTGAATGTTGACCAATTCATTTCGGTATAATGATTGTGTATTATTATCTCCATCTGCATTTGATGCTTTTGCATCATTCAGTGTTTTGCTATTAGAATCCTTTGGTACTGCTAACTGAGGCTTGAATTCTTTCTCAGGTTCTTCAACTTGAGAAATGCTGAGCACCTTCTTCCCTTTTATTTTTCCAGCTCCATTCTTTGCACCTGCCTTTATAATACTTTGTCAGTTGTATTCTACTCTGTCAGTGTAACACTTCTCTAGTTGTCCTTTGAAAATTTCTGTTCAGCTCATTTGATTATTTATTCAATTCGCTTTAATTCCTCTATTCTGGAACAAGTTTCAGAAACTCTTCTCTGTTCTTTTGGTCTTTCTCAGTTTTTTTTAACAACCTTTTGCATTCTTCATATACGATGTGCTTACATCATATCATCTGGCACCTTGTTTGGGCTTTGATAATTAGTATTCAAGGCATCAAATCTGTTCTTGAGATGTAAGTGTGAATAGCTTATTTTGAGACTCTTATTAGATGCTTATATGGTTCTATCTTCCTCTTCTGTCGTTCTTTCAATAATATTGTGCTCTTCTTTGTCTTTCATAATAGCTTTTGTTTGGTATCTGTTTTATCAGAGATTAATATTGCCATTCCTGCTGCTTTTGATTGTTGATGTATTTTTCCATCCATTGATTTTTAGTCTAATTTTGTATTAATGTCTAAGGCTTTTTATAGGCAGCATGTTATTGAGTCTTACTTTCTTATCTGTTCTGCAACTTTTTGTCTCTTAACTGCTGTATTACATTGGAAGCATTCATGTACAACTATTTTTAATAGGATTGGATTGCTGAATTGTATGACATGAGAAGTATATACCAATAACACTGTTTCAGAAAGACAGAAGTGGATTACTACGATTGGCATCCCACCCAGCCTAGGGAGAGCCAGTCCTCTTTTAGGGCTTGCCTTAGGTATGTCCGTGATGGAGATCACCTGACTGGGATGACGTCGTCATGAGTCATGCCCTAGAAAACAATATACTGAGAGAAGTTAGTCAATAACTAAGGACAAAGACTTTATGAGATAACTACTATAAGGATACAATTCAAGATAAAGATGTGCAAAGCAAAGGAAACCAACTTTGGAGAGGACTAGGATGAGAAAAAGAAGCAACTGTACTAGAAGGTCCGACAGATATTGACTTAAATGAAAGTAAGTATAGAGGCTTCCTCCCACCTGAGAACTGAAAAGGGGGAGCAGCGAGCCTCACGGCCTCTCCAGGTGTTTAGAACGTTTACTACAAAAATGGGCCGAATTTTCCTTGACCACATCTGTAGGACCCGTCTGTTTTCCTGTGCAAACTGTGATACCATCTTCACCAACCGCTCAGAACTCATCTCCACTCGGTTCACGGGCACGACTGGCCGCCCCTTTCTTTTTAACAAGGTAGTTAACCTGCAGTACAGTGAAGTTCAAGACCGGGTCATGCTCACTGGCTGCCATATGGTGGTGCGAGATGTGAGCTGCAAGAACAGCAATAGCAAACTGGCATGGATCTATGAGTTTGCCACTGAAGACAGCCAGCGTTATAAGGAAGGCTGTGTGATCCTGGAACGGGCTCTTGTTCAAGAGAGCGAGGACTTTGAGGAGCACGTACTGTCTGATAACTCTTGAAGGAAAAGAGATAAATACCATCTTTTCCCAGGTTGCCTTCACTGAAAACAAAAATCTCCTTACATACACTGTCACCTTAGCATCAGCGTCAGAATCATGAACTGTAGAACAAGAGGTAGTGAGAGTCTAAGAGGGAACCGACCTTTCTTTCTTTTTTTTTTTTTATTTCTATTCCAGCAGCAATGTGTAGAGAGAATATGATGCAGATGCCGTTAACTTGTTTTTGTTTTTCCCCTTATGTTTGCATCTTGAGGCAGAATAGTCTTATCTGCAGCTATGTAATGGGCTAAATGAAGAAAAAAAGCTGGGCGATTAGAGTGGAAAACAGCACATTTTATGTGAATCCTAAAAGGAAAACAATGTCAAGAGCATGGTTTTAAAATTTTTATTTGGGCTTCATTTTCAATCCTTTTGGGTTAAACTCAGTTACGTCACCTGATTTGCCAGCTTCAGAATCCGTGACCAGCGCTGAAGGTCCAGTGTTAGTGCAGCTTGTGCTGGGCGAGAAATTAAAACAAAAAAATGAAAGTAAGTATAGAAATCCATAAGAAAGAAAAGAGAAATTGGAGTGATAGTGAGATAGGCTATAGGGGTGGCTGATGAGTGGCTTGAACTGTTGAATGTAGAGTGGTGTAATGTAAATGTCAAATATAACCCCATTACAAGCCCTCCCATATAAAACATGAAGCAAATTTTAATTCACAATAAAAAGTTAATTTAAAAACTTTTAAAGAAGATAGTGAGTGGAGGATGTACTTAAAGGGCCAATTGAGAAGACTGTTTAGATGACACTTAAATTAACCACTATAATGAATCAGTAAAAATCATTAAATTTTATTGTTGGGGCTATTTGCTGGACTTTAAAATATTGATTAAGAGTATTTCTGTGCAGATGACTCTGAATTAACGTCTGAGGTACTTTCATGATTCTTAATGAATCAGCTTATAGCCTGTTTTTCATACTATTGCAATAATTACCTACTCAAAACCAAGATTTTTTGGAAAATGTATTTATAAAGTCTATTAAAATGCATAAAATGCTTATTAAAATAAAAATTTAAAAGCCCCATTATGAAAAATACTATAAGCTACAAAGAAATCTTTTGTTTTTAGTAGTGCTTACTACAATATAATAAAATGTGTATTTTCAGTAAGTGTATTAAAAGTCAGGTTTTTTAAACATAATAGTTAAGGGAGAAAGTACAGCTCTTTAATACAGATAACATAAACGTGGATCCGTCACTTGACCCTTCGCCCCAGTTCCTTTCACTGTAAATTAAAAATAATTTACGGTAATATTGTGGAGTAAATGAAAGTTTGCTTTCATGTTATATATGTTATATCAAATGTTGCACTTAGACGATGATAAATATTCAATAAATTAAGAAAATGAAAACAAACATACTGTCAAGTCATTTCCAATTCATGGCAACCTCATTTGTTACAGAGTGCAGTTGTTTTATAGGATTTTCTTTGCTGTAATCTTTTCAGAAGATCACCAAGGCTTTTGGTGATCTGCTAGTGGGTTCAAGTCACTGTTGTTTCAGTGTGCTGTTGAGTTGATTCCAACTTAAAGCAACCTACTGTTTCCTAGGCTATGATCTTGTGACTTTTCTCCCACCAGTGACTTTTTAGTTAGTAGATAATGGCTTCTTCAAAAAAAAACCCCAAAAAACAAATTAACTGCCATTGAGTTGAGTCCAATTCATAGCTGCTCCTTAGCCTTTATTAACTGGGCACAAACTGTGCCATCCAGGGGTCTTAGTAAGTAATAGCTGTTAAAAAATGTTAGCTGTGATCAGTATTCAATAAATATAGTTCTTTTGCTTCTCCCAATGAAAACCCCAATATATGCTCTAATTTTAAGATAAAAGTCAATTGATTTCATTAAGCTCATCTGTGTTTTGGACCACTTCCCCATATAATTGTATAGACCTTACTGATGGGCTTAATGTATGCTTCCCTGTGAGTCTGAATTGACGTGATGTGATTAAGTTTAGTTGTTTGTTTTGATGATAGGAATTGCCATGATCCCATCATACCGTATCTCATGATACGAAGATACACATATAATGAGTATGTCAGTTTTTAAGGTACTAAACCCCCGAATAAATGTATTATTTCAATGTCCTATTTTGTAGTTATGTGCTGTTCATCTCCCCACTGAGTCAGAGGCACCAAATCATTATCAGGCAGTATGCCGGGCACTATTTGCAGAAACCATGGAGCTGCATACCTTTCTGACGAAAATGAAGAGTGCAAAGGAGGTAAGTCTCACAGATAAATTTCTTGTAATTGTGGAAGATAAAACTGTCTTTTCAACATTGTGTATTCTTTCATTAGCATCCTTTTGATGAGTGTTTAAAAATAAGAATAAAAGCCCCTTCACAATTTAAAAAATATTCAAAATATTAATACTGTGAATCCATTTGGTAAAATATGTTCTTTCTTTTAAATCATTTTATTGGGGGCTCTTACAACTCTTATCACAATCCATAATTACATCCATTGTGTCAAACACATTTGTACATATGTTGCCATCATCATTTTCAAAACATTATCTTTCTACTTGAGCCTTTGGTATCAGGGAAGAAGCATTAAAGAACTAGAAGAATGTTGTATGAAGATACTTTATTAGCTAGAATCTATTAAGCTACCATATATATACTCGTGTATAAGCTGAGGTTTTCAGCACATTTTTAAAAATCATTTTATTGGGGCTCATATAACTCATCACAATCTATACATACATCAACTATGTAAAGCACACTTATACATTTGTTGCCCTCATCATTCTCAAAATTCGCTTTCCGCTTGGATTCCTGGAATCAGCTCATTTTCCTTTTCCCCCTCCCCCTCCCTCCCTGCTCCCCCCTCCCCCCTCCTTCACGAACTCTTAATAATTTATAAATTATTATTATATCTTATCTTACACTGCCCAGCGTCTCCCTTCACCCACCCCTCTGTTGCCCATCCCTCAGAGAGGAGGCTATATGTAGATCCCTGTAATAGATTCCCTCTTTCTACCCCCCTTCCCTCCCGGTATCATCACCACTCTCACCACTGGTCCTGAGGGGTTCATCTGTCCTAGATTCCCCGTGTTTCCAGTTCCCATCTGTACCATTCAGCACATTTTTAAATGCAGTTTTTGTTGTAAAATTAGGTGCCTCAGCTGATATTCAGGTCAGCTTATGCTCGAATATATAGGTACTTGACAAATACATATTAAGCATCAACCAAGTGTCAATATTTTTGTTTGGTTCTGAGATTAGAATTACGCTTTGTGAAGTCTAATGGGAAAGGATACAAATATTCACTTAAATAGATGTAGAATTGCAATAATAAGAAGAGCTTTAGAGGAAAACTTAAAAACCAAACTCATTGCCACCAAGTCGATGTCGACTCACGTAAAGTTATATAGTACAACAATTTGGCTTTGTCAAGGTAGGGAAGCCATCCTGAAGGTATTGGTGATTTTGCTGAATCGGCTATCTGAAGGAAAAGGCAAACTAGGTAATGAAAGACACCAACCAGGGAGTGGTGAGAAAAAGAGAGCATCCAAAGCCGAGTTCAGGTGTGGGGGCGAGGAGAAGCGAACCTCTAGTGTAGAAACCAAGTGAGGGGAGGGAGGAGTGTCCAGAGTGGGTACCAGTCATGGTGGTTAGGCGAGGAGAATGTCCATAGCAGAGAACAGGTGTGAGGATTTGAGCGAGAAGACTGTTCAAGATAGAGAAGAGGCGTGAGGGTGAAGAAAGTATCCCTGATAGAGATTATGCAGTGTAGGTGAGAGGAGAGTGTCCAGGGCAGATGCTGTTTATATTAAGAGAATTGTAATACAGATGAACTTCAGTAAAAAAGAGGGGGAGAGAGAAAGTATTCTCTATGAATCCTGTTGATGGATTAGATGTAAATGATAAACAAGAAGATGTCAGCATGGCATAGAAACTGAATTAATATTGTAAGTGAATGTTTAACCCAAAAGGCCTACATGGAAAGCAGGTTTTTGTGTGTATGGGTTTTAATTTTTTTAATTATTAGTGGTTTTAATAACATGTCATTTCAGTGGTTGGCAGAATCTTTGGTCTGACACTTCCAAATTCTAAGGTGCGTGACTCAGACTGCCATGATGGGACTGGAGGGTAGGGAGGCAGGAGTTTTACTCTCTGGCTTCCTCCAAGTCCCTGTGCTTTTGAAATTCATGGCCTTTTGAAGTCCTGGAGCTCCATATGCGATCCCCCTCTGGATTGAGCAATCTTCAGTCATCCCTGATATCCCTCTGGAGGTTTTTAATCTATTCTGTTATTGAATTCAAACTTTATAGAAAGTTAAACGGTGTGACATCTTCTTCAATAGCTTATGCATACATATTTTATCCAAAGATATGCTAGGAATTTTAATATGAGTGGCGTAATAAAATTTTCATACCTTTTTATTCTTTTTATTTTAATTGGTAGAATCTGAAGAAGATTCAAGAAATGGAAAAGAGTGATAAATCTAGCACAGACCTTGATGAGCTGAAAAATGCTGACTGGGTAAAATAATTTGATATGCTTTCGATTCTGTTGCTTTTAAGAATTTACATATATAAATAACATATAATAGCCAACGTAGCCTTTAAGAACTGTAGTATGAATTCAAATTACAAGTATCCCTTAGGTTATGAATGAGTTCCATTTCTAAGTCTATCTTTACATCTAATTTTACATAAGTTGGAAGTCTGGTATGGTTTATATCCAGTGTCAGTCAAATGTTAGTCTTAATATGTAGTATAGTTTACGTTCCTATGCATAAAAAACATATGCTTCCAGATACACTAATTATCTTTACATAATAATTGAGTAACAATAATAGCATTTTGTTATTCATTACAACACCCATTTGGTATTACAAACCATTGTATGTACCATGAAGTTTTAATGATATTAATAGGCTCCATAAGGTTGGATTCTAAATTGAGCATTTGTAATCTGTGGCCTGCCTGCACATAAATTTGAATGTTTAGTCGTATATTTGGAGAAATACCTACTACTATTTTTTTGGGGGGGGGGCCTTTCCGATTTTATTAGAATCAATCATTTCAGTGTGACATCAGGAAAATGACAAAAGAGATGGCTCCAACTTCCAGTTGCTCCACAAAACCAGTAAAAAACAACAAGAAGAAACTAACAGAATCAACTTTGTCAGAAAACTTTTTTTCTGGAAGACAGAGGTTTACAATAACCAAGCAAATGCTAAATGAGGAGGAGGCAACTTAACCAGGAGGAATCTTTATAATATTTTTACTTGTCTCTTGCTGTACCCTCTGCCCCACTAGCAAGTCTTGAAGATGGTAGCCTACATTCCCAGTGTGGGTCCCAGAGAGAGCAAAGCATACTACTTGTAAATACTATGCTTGCCTTTTCTGATCTGTTTGGGGATACTTGAAGGATCAATTCAAGGCACTCATCTTTGTTTCACCTAATTTGAACCCAGTCAGGTGAAAAAAGGTAGGTACTCAAAAACATTTTAAGATCCTTGAATAACCCACAGCCACATGGGGCAAAAGATTATGGCTATACCATACAATTGAGCAGTGAAAGCCAAAGATGAAAAGCAAGTAGTGTTTCTTTGAGAATTTAGTTGATTCACAAGTGCTTGTGTATGCTGGGAAATTTAGGAAGCACACCCAGGAAAGGACAAATGCTTAGTTAGCAAGGACCTCAGAAGAGCCTAAGCTTTTATCACAGACTGATTCATAGGTTTAGTGCAGTCAGGAAGTTAATACTGAGGCAGAGGTGTAAAGATTCTGGCTAAGTATTGAAGGGAATCCCCAGCACAAAGCCAATACAAAGACTTAAAAAGGTTTTGTTTTTGTTGTTTTCTGATTTTGCTTTCGGCTTTGTTAAAACTCTGGTATGCAAGGGAATATCTGTAAAAACACAAGATAAGCCTTTAACACTTAATCACTTACAGTCTTGGGGAAATGAGAGATAATCTGATTTTGAGGGTTACCAATTTATTATACTATTTTGTCCATTTTTCAACAGCAACAAAATCACAATATATAAATAAATCCAAGTACACGCAAGAAGCTTAACAAACACTAAGCAGAATAAACTCATAGAGGTCCAAACTGATCTCATTTCATTGTAGTCAATTTTTCAGAACACAAAGAGGGAATCTTTAAAGCAATAGCAGATAATCAACTGTCATGTACTAGGATCTTCAATAAGCTTGACAGTCAGTTTTTCATTTCAAACTATAGAGGCCAGAAGATAATGGGATGCCATACTGACAGTACTTAAAGTCGGGGAGGGGAGTCAATCAAGAATTCTATGTGTGGCAAAAATATCCATTAAAAATGAAAGCAAACTGATATATTCTCAGATAAACAAGATCTGAGCAAGTTCATCACTAGTAGACCTGCCCTCTGAGAAGTTGTAAAGTCATTCAGGCTAAACAAAAGATCAACATGAACTTGAAGTCATATAAAGAAATAAAGAACAATGATAGAGCTTCATGGGTCAACACGGAAGTGGATGCTATAGCACTTTTGGTTTGTGATTATTTTTATTTTAATGATTCATAAGTAAACTAAAGCAACAATCACACATGTGTTAGTGGGCATACAGTGTATGAAAAAAGTATTTGACACAATCACAACATAAAGGGAGGAGGGAATGCAAGCCAGAAAGAGGAGAGTTTTTATATACCATTAAAACTAAGTTGGTATTAATTCAAACATGATTGTTTCAAGTTAAAATCTCAATCGTAATTGTAATGTCTACAGTAGCTAAGGTTGTGTGTCACCTTGGCAGGGCCAGCATTCTCAGTGGTTCAGCAGTTAAGATGAGATCTAATATAATGCAATTTCTTCTATGGTGAAATGTGCGATGAACAGCAAATAAATTGAAAAGGAATTTCCTCAGGGGTGAGACCTGCTTCCAGTGTATGTAGATGCTCTCAAAGCTTGCTTCCTTTTTTCTGCGTCTGGATCCTGCATCTGCTCATCTTTGAGCTTGAACTAGTAGTCTGCCAAATCACTTGCTGATCATGGGAGTCTGCAACCTGCCATCTTACCTGCTGTTTAAGGCCTCGTTGACTAAAGAAACAAATGCAGTGGCACTCATATATGTACTAGAAAGAGCTTTATATCAGATGTAATTATATATCAAGAAAGTTTCCCAGCCCAGTCCAACTCCAGTTCATAAGAACAATATTAGTCCATAAGTCCCTCTTCAGACTCAAAACAGCCACATGCAGTGATGCCGAATGCAGGACGATCACAGGCTGGTGGATGCAGAGTCTTATGGATCCAAGGTCAATGGAAACATATGACAGGGCTCCAGCAGCTCTTGGGGTTAGTGCAGAGTCCTGGCAAACAGGAAGGCAAAGTGGCAGAGAGAGGGAAGTTCCTAGGGTCCTCCTCATAGAAGGTCACACCTTTAAGGAGAGGTATTAGGCTGTGGCCTGATTAACAGGTTGGATTCCACCCTTCCACTTTTATACATCTTCAAATTGAAATAAAATTATCTAACTACCACATCTGTCTGCAGTCAGAAGCCTGTTTGACCTGCTGATCTTGGGCTCATCGTCATATATGAACCAGGAGAAACCTTCAGCCTGATTATCTGATCCATGGACTTGGTTGCTGACTTCTACAACTCAATGAGCCATTTCCTTGAGATAAACCTCTGTCTGTGTGTGGATACACACACAAATATATAAACTTCACTCATTTTATTTTCTTAGAGAACTCCTACTATGCCAATGCTCAAGAAAAATCTTCAAAAATAACTAAAATGCTTATAGAAAAATACAGAAGAAAAAAAAACAAAATAGTACGTTATAAAAAGTTGGAAGAACTTAAGGACAAAAAGTACATTATATAAAAGGAATGAAAAATGGTAGACCCAAGTTCGTTCTTGTTGCAATTACTTTAGAGTTAAATGGATTAAGCTATTCTAGTAAAAGGCAGAAATTGGCAAATAAAATTACAAGTAATTTTTAAAACTTTGATCCACTTATTTTCAGTATTCAAGTATTTATATACTTCATGCTAAAACACAAAGAAATTGAAAATATAGACTTAGTGAAAAAAGGATGCTGCATAAATTAATTACCAAAAGAAAGTGGCTATATTATTTTTTTCTTTTCAAAAAAAACTAATCATTTTATTGGGAGCTCTAGCAGATATCATAACATTCCATAGTACAATCACATCAAGCAGTATTGTGCAATTGCTACCACAATCAGTTTCAAAACATTTTCTTTCTTAATGAACTCCTTGATATCAGCTCCTCTTTATCTCTTCCCTCCCCAACCCTACCACCCAGGAGCCCTTTTTTTTTTTCTGCCATGTCTTACACCAGTAGTTCTCAACCTTCCTAATGCCGTGACCCTTTAATAGTTCCTCATGCTGTGGTGACCCCAGCCATAAATTTATTTTTGTTGCTGCTTCATAACTGTAATTTTGCTACTGTTATGAATTGGGCAAACCCCTGTGAAAGGGTTGTTTGACCTCCAAAGGGTTCATGACCCACAGGTTGAGAACTGCTGTCTTTACACCATCCAATATATCCATTCATATAAAATTCTGTTGTTCACTCCCCACGAGTGGTGTTACACAGTCATCAATGCTGTTGGTTTCCTACTCCCCACTCCACCCTCACCAAAGTAAAGGGAACCATTACTCCTGTTTCTATTTCTGAAGGGTTATCTATCTTGGTTTTCATGTCTCGAACAATCTTAAATATACAAATGAACATAACGCAAGTCTAACATGATTAATTAGGTAGAACAAATAAAAAACATAATAGTAAGGGGAAGAAATATTAAAGAACTAGAGTATAGTTAAGTGTTTCATCAGTGCTGTATTGCACCCTGTATTTATTATCCCTTCTGTGTGGCCCTTCTGAGAGGGACTGTCCAATTATCTTACAGGGGGTTTTTGGGTTTCCACTATATCCACATATCAATTTGGTTGCTTGTCTTTGAACTTCTGATACCTTTTCCCGTTGACACCTAAGCGTAGCTATATTATTATCAGTGAAAAAATTGAATGTACAGGACAAGGAATGACACTATATATCGATAAAATGGTTAATCCTACTAGAATGAATAGTAGTTGAAAACATATACACACTTAACAACGAAGCCTTAAAATGTAGAAAGAAAAATGGACAGTATTGAAGGGAGAAATGGAAAGTTCTACAACAGAAGTTGGAAATTCAATAACATACTGTCAATAATGAATAGAACAGTCAGACAGAGATCAATAAAGAAATAAACTTGAACGATAAGACCTAACAGACTTGTACAGAATGTGGTAGTTACATAATCTGGTTGTCAACTTGAGATACTAAGAATGAAAGGGTAGAATTTAGCCTGTCAATCAGGTTACAGCTTGATGACCTTCATCTCACCTAAGTAAATACCTGTCAACTCTTTAATCTGTTGCTTCCATCTTTCCCCACTTACCCTCTCCTTACCCCCTTGGTATACTCTGAAGTATGTTCCTTTTAGTCTTAATTTTTCTCTTTATAATAGTGGT